GGTGCTTCAAATAGGAATACTTTATTTCTTTGTTGATTGGATAGTCCTCCTTGAAGAGATGGGAATACATTTTCTTCAAAACAGCAATTTTACAAACGTGCACATAATAATGTGCTAGTTGATGGATCAACAATACGAATAATGCTTAGTGAATCAAAACCAACATATATGCTTTCTTGTCGATGAGCTCCAATTGTACGCCATTGAGGTTCTGGTACTCGAATCCAAGTACGACAAGCAAATATTCGTAAGTAAAATACAATTGAAATACGACCCAAAATGAGCTTATGTGGTGAAATAATTTTAAGAGAAGAAGGGCGGAGGCATATTAATGCTGCAACATGTAAAACTGCATGACCCCACATAGATGCACATAGATTTGCATGAAGGAAGAGTGGCTGGGTAATGAGTTGTATACGCTTTATAAATGACTATGCAAGTCCATTTTGAGCATGTTCATATGGAACACAATATGTTAACTCGATTCTTGTTGCAGTACAATAGTCTTCAAAAGATTGGCAAACACCATGTTTCGAGTTGATAATAATGAAATATGTGATTGTTTACCTGATGCATCAACAAGGACCAAAAAATAATGAAATGGTCTTGATATTGGATTAATAGGACCACAAATATCACCATGCAATCTTTCAAGCATTGGTGGTAATTCTTGTAGAAGTTTCCAAATTGAAGGCCAAGTAATCATTTTACCTTGCACCCATGCACGACATAATTCTATAGAGTCTACATCTGCAGGCTATAAATTGTGCCCAGTTATACATGGAATGATCTTTCTAAATAATGTGGATCTTGGATGTCCCAATCATCCATGCCAGAGAGAAATACGACTCTCTGAGATAGATGATGCAAAATTAAATATAATGGGAGGCCGAATCACAATTCGAAATAAACCACTTTTTGTAGCAAAAGCTTTTTCAATAACTTTATGGTTCTTCGCAAGAACCAAAACCTCTTTTCTATTTAAAGTGGTAGTCGAGAGGTTATAACCATTAATATGCACATCTGGATAGTTGATCAGACTCCGAGGTAGTGAGGGTGCAAACATTGCATGTTTACATTTTATGATGGAACCCGCAGGTAATTTTACCATCGCTGTGCCTTCTTGGAAACAAAATGCATTTGCTCCAGCCATGGTTATTATATTTTTAGTTTGCCAAGTTGAAGATTTTTCAATAAAAAAATCGTCTATCTCTCAAGATAGTATATGTTGTTGTAGAATCAATGAGCACATTATTTGATTCATCATTAGAAGTTCTATCATTTATATAAGCCTCTAAGTCATCAACACCAATTGAATCCATGGATGCATCTATGATATGAACTTCACGAGCCTCAACTCGTAATTTCTTATTTTTTTGGAACATTTTAATAAAATATTCTGAAGTACGACATGCATGTGTTAAATGTCGAATCATTCCACACTTATAGTAAGAACGCATCTTTGATTTTTGTTTTCTAGTATAATTAATAGTAGAACGTTTATTCTTTTTATATAGGTAGAAATGGTATTGACTATGACTACCTTGATACTTATGAGCACATTTCCTATGTTTATATAATTTCTTCTTTGATTTTGAAATATTAAGTGGATGAGATTCTGGAACTGTAGTTCCAATAGGACAAGCTTTCGCATTGCGCAAGAGTAGCTCATTTTTCTTCTCCGCAAGAAGTAGATAGGACATGAGATCAAAATGTCTCTCAAATTTCATGTTCCTATATTGTTGTGCAAGCACATCAGATATAGGAGGAAATGTAGAGAGAGTTTTCTCAATCATTTCTTCTTCAGAAATACTTTGTCCACATAATTTTAATTGTAAGACAATACTATACATTTCACTATTGAAAGCATTTAAATTTAGAAAATCCAAGATACGTAAACATGTCCAATTGTGACGTGCATGTGGAAGAAAAATGGTCTTTTGATGATCAAACCTAGATTTAAAATTCTTCCAAAGTTTTGTAGAATCTTCCATTTCTAAATATTGATATTGTAATGCAGGTACAAGATGACGACGAAGGAGAAGAAGTGCTTTCCAACGAATAGCAAGAGGTATAGAAATACTTATTGTAGGAGATTCTTCAAACATAATGACATCCGAGAGTTGTTGTGCAAATAAATTTACTTTTGCTATTTTTTCCCAAAATAGATAATTGTTTCCATCCACAGTCAATGATGGAAATAAAAGAGCTTGAAAATGTTGGGATGCACTGGTAATAGTTGGAACCATAGTAGAAGCAGTTGAAGATGTTGAAGCACTCATTTTAAATAAATCTGTAAAGAAAATACAAGATCAAGTAGAAAAGTTGAGTAAAACGTACCTTAAAATATAAAGTCAATTAAAATGATAAACTTGAACTTGAAAAAATAAAAAATATATATATATATTAAAGAGATTGTAGATTAAGGTAGCAGAATATCAATAAGATGGCGGCAGCAGGCAGCGGTAGGGCGAGAGCAGTAGGGCGGTAGGGTAGCAATGGTGAACAATAGCGAACAGCAGCGGCAAGCGACAGTGGCAGACAATAGCGGTGGGCAGTGGTGGGCAACAACGAGCGACGGCGGCGGTAATGGCGTTAGGGTGACGACAGGATGGCAGCGGTGGCAGTGGCGGGTTTGATGGCTGTTCGGCGGCAGGCGCGGGTGTAATAGGGAGCAGAGAACAAGCTGAGGTGGAGTTGGGCTAGATCAAGTATTCTAAGCAAGGAGCTAATGAGGGGCTAGCAAGAAGAACAAGTTCATGATGCAGACACTGAGCAAGATTATGATGTAGACACTGAGCAAGATCATGAAGAGTCAAAGATTAGAGCAAAAAATTGTAATAGTGTGTAGAAGAGAGTCATGGTGATAACGTGTTGAGAATGTTTAGAAAGACACAAGAGTAATAGTAAGTCATACACGCACACAAGAGTAGTAGTAAGTCATACACACAAGAGGGTTTCTAAGGAGAGAGAGCTTCACACATACAAAAATCTATTGATCTGGTTGTGTCTTGTATACAAGAAGAAAAAAGAAGAGAGGATAAACAGTACTTCTCCACTAGACTCTAAATACTGTAGCCATGGTATTTATTGCAGTCTACAGTAAATATTATGGAGAGCGCAGGCTACATTTAATGATCTCAACAGTCCCCATGTCTTTTGTGGTGACAATCATCCCATTTGTATTGTCCTCTATTTGTTCCCTCTGGCCTTCATAGTATCGGCGGGTTAGTTCCCATGTCTTTGTGATCCACCTGTATTAACATTCCCCTCGTTGTGATTGTCTCCTCTGCTGCTCGTTCCTTCTTGTTGTAGAGGTCATCTTGTCGGCTTTCTCCTCTTCGGGTTTCTCCTTTTGCTGCTGATTTTGCAGTGACTCGCCATCCGATTCGAGGCTGCGATTGTTGCTTGCGGTCGTCGCCAGTCCGACTTGGCCGCGACCTTGCATTGTTGCGACTTGCCCTGGCGACGCCACTGCTGCTACCCTGTGTTGTTACTCCTAGTCTCCGATTCAGAGCCCGTTGTTGTTACTCGCTATCATGGCCATTCCAACATGGCCGTGGCCATGTATCATCGCGCCTCCCCTGGCTCGAGACCATGTGATACCCATTTATGTTGAACCCGCGTCCGATTTGATACCGCTGTTGTTGCTTACGGTCGTTTCTTGCTGTCGTCGCCTGTCCGACCTGGCCGCCATGGCCGCCCTGTCTCTGATGTTGTGCGTTGCACCCGGCTCAAAGCCGCCGCTGTTACTGGTTGCCAGCAACCGTGCTGGCTGTGACCCTGTGTCACCTCGCACAGCTCAAGATCTTGACTATTTCCGACCTTTATTGACTCTGTCCTCGCTGAGCAATGTCTTGATCCGGCAGCTTCAGGTTTTAGGGTTTAGGGGGCTGCTGCTGTGTGCTGCTGTGAGAGAGGCAATCTATCCAAGGACTCTTGGTGGTTAAGGTGCTCTGGTAACAATGGACTTAGTTTCTTAGTCACATTTAGTATTAATTTAGATGTCAAAATTTACATCACCGCCATTGTAATAGTTACTGTGAAACAGCAATGAGAAATTTCATGAGGAAATAGGAACAACTAACATGACCACCAAAATAACAACAAAGGAGAAAATTCTAAAAGATGTAAACGATTACGAATAACCAACCAAAATAAGAGTACTACCGTTATCCGACAAAGACTAGAAAGTGGAATACGATTGACTCGCTATTTGAGACTTAAGGATGATTCCGCATAGAAAAAAGTACACGAAGCAATCAACCTCACTTGCACTTTACACAAAAGAACTACCAAAATCAACGCAACAAACCTATAGTTAATTAAAGTAGAGACGCGAGTGATCTACTCCATTAAGGGTGATCTACATTTACATCTCAACAGCTATGTATGGACTCCAATAAATAAATTGATGCATATATATTCACCTATTAATCAATACAGTTTACCAGGTTGCTTTGTTAATTGAACGGATGTTTTCACTCTAATATATTCCAGCTGCAGATGATTGATTGTTTAGCATGATCAATTGTGTGGTATAATACTATTTCTGTTGCGGAAATTTTTAGTAGTTGCGTATTATACACTAGCTTTTCTTTTCCTACCAATTGTATCCTCATTTTATGATGTACTCGATATGCTTATTCATTTCATCATACTTTCCCACAATTGACATTTGCACTGTTCCAATTCCACAACAATGGTGAGAAACTGGACAAATTCCGAGAAAAAAGTGCCGTCCCTGAGCCTCTCCCGGACAACACAACGAATCGAACAAACATGATCCAGTGCATACAACAGCAATACTCATCACTAAGACTTCACGCTCTTTTCAAAGCTTTCTAGCGGAAGTTGTCGCAAAACACAAAACACGAAGTTCAATCAAACTTCTAAACAACGATCGAATCAGTCTCACAGCTATCTCATGCAATCTACAATGATAACGCCAAACTGCTAAACATCCTGACGTCATCCCTCCTAAAACATAACAACTCGAGAATGCAAAGCCAAAATATATTCCCAATTGCATTAACGACGGGCGGTGGTCAAACCGATCCGTGGAGGTCACAATGCCAGAGGAACCGCTGGCAATCCACCCGCTGCATTCGCGTGTGACACTGCTCAGCTACTTATTGCATCAACAACCTACAAAACCATGTCGCCCCGTCCTCAACGAATCCGGGGTCCATAAATCATGCTCACTTCACAACAATACTCATCACCCTTCTGTCAATCCCTTCGTTCCATCGGCGGCCCCGGACGCCTCCTCTTCGGGGCAGTCAGCCGCGCAGATGCCAACCAAGGCCATCACATTCTCCTCGCACACTCTTCGCCACCGCCATCTCCACGTCGTCGTCGACGTGCCTCAAATCACCCCTGCAGCCCACACTTCTTCGTCCTGAGGTCGAACACGAACGGCACCAAATACTTCCGCCCGTTCACTCCGTTCACGTTGTAGCTCGCCCCGTTCCTGTCCTTCAGAATCTTCCCCGCATACCCTGGGTACGCGCCCTCGCCGTAGATCCCTCCGCACACCGTCGCAACCTCCAGCGGGTCCAGCGCTCCTCCCTGGTAGTACCCGTTGTTCCGAGGGTTCGTCGCCGCCCCGGCCAACAAGCCGGCGATGCTGATGCACATCCCGTCCACGCCCACGTCCCCGTTCGGAGCCTTCAACGGAGCCGTGTTTGGGCCCGCACCGTACTCCGCCTTCGCATACGGCCACGCGCAGTGCCCCGGACACTGGGTCGCCGGGTTCCCAACCCACACGAATGGCAGCACCTTGTGTTGCGTGGCCGGCGACCGAGTCCAGCTGTGGGTTCCGCACAGAGAGCTGCAGAACCCTTGCACGCCCACATCCGCAGAGGTCAACACCAGGTACACTGCGTTCGGATCCACCCCCGTCGAATTCAGCGACGCCACCACCAGCTTCTCGATATCCGACTCCGCCAGAGACTTCTTCAAGCTGTACTTGGAGTCCGTGTACACCTTCCCCAATGTTACGGTGGCTGCCACGGGCACCTTCTTGCTGTCCTTGTAGTTCTTCAAGATCGCCCACCACCCCGCCACCGTCGGGAAAAGCGTCCGGGGTTTCGGACTCGAGAAAGACCTCACAAAGTCTGTCAATATGGCCTTCTGCTTCTCGCTCCACCCCCCGTAGAATATCACATTCACCTTCAACACGCCACCCGTTCCGGTCAGAAGAGGCCCGTTGTGATACGTCATCTTGATCTGCGGGTCCTGCACCAAAAACTTCATGCCCCCTACAAGGCTCTTCTGCACGAACTCCTTGTATGGCATCGCCCTGCCCCCGTGAGACCACGCCGACTGACCACTCCCGGCATCGAACGAATCCGCCGGGACGCCTTCGGGCGACATGGAATGCCACGACACAGCCAGAATCAGCAAACACGACAGCAATCCGATCACGACGTTCCGGTTCCTGATGGCAGGGTTGGCGACCTGATCCTTCACCAATGTGCTCGGGGCAGCCTTCAGCTTCGTCTCCGAGGATAGCATGGAATTCGTCCGCTGCAAAATGGGAGTGCTGCTACAATCCAGCTTCACGGAAGAGGCCGACCGCTGAAAAGCCGCCATGCTCTCCCGCACAGTCGAAGCGCTCCTCTCCAACTGAGAGGCCATGCTACGCGCTACGACGCGTGCGGTTCCGGCCCACAGATGGACGTGCCACTACAAGGTCGTTGGCAGTGAAACCCTCTAAAATCTGTGCGAGCGTTTGATGAAAATTCGCAAATGCGAAATTGAATATCTGACGATCAGATCTGAAGTCGGAATAGAACGAGACCAACAACCATTGACAGCAGATGCTCAAAGAAATTTGAACTTTCGTCACTACCAACAGTACCGGATGCCAGCCGTGCGTCCCTGGAGCTTGGTTATCAGGAATTTACAGCTCGAAGAGCATTGTTACGGAAAACTGTGATGGATTTCATGCAGGTGGCGAAGTGGCTTGCATGCGACGAACCCTGTGGAAACACTTAGTGTGCCATGAAGCATTGCCCGTGTGTGTGTGTGAGAGAGAGAGAGAGAGAGAGAGAATGTGAGCGAGAAACCGCAGTCTAGGGATAGCTGAACCTGTAGCGGCAAGCTGCGGTAGAGGTTTAAGTGCGGCTTCGTGCACTTGATGTACAGGTTTTGTCCTCTCTTGGATCTGTTTAAAACTGCAGACTTGCATCGAACATGTCTGAGATCGAGATGTTCAGGGCGCGGATTACGTAGCGCGGCGAACGAGCCGAGTTGAAGCGCAGTGGCCGCCATGATAGTAGGACTGACCGAACAAGCGGCGCCATGCTGAGAGGTTAGTGGTGAGGCGTTGCGAGTTGCAACACTCGGGATTGTCAGAGGCGGTTTTGCGGGAGCTAAACGGCAGGGTGACACCGTGATCTGGGCGTTTAGTTGGCATGGCGTTGCTGGTTGCGGTGCCCAGGTCACAGCGTCGGACCCACCTGGGCATGGTCGCCGATTTAGACCCCGCAAATGCGTGGTCGGCTCATCAACGTCACCACCACGATGACGACCACTACGATTACCATGTAGGTGAGGCGTGTCTTTTCGAGTCGCCCAGTAGGGGATTCCCCTCTGATTAAGCGCTTCCCTTTTTTCCCATGTCTGCTGCATCGGCACCTGTGAATTTGAGGTTTTGTCGCGGCCCCTGGGTGGGGGCTTCAGCGGCGGGGTGTGGGTGGAGAGGAGAGCTAAGGACAGTGTTAGTTCCAGCCTCCATTTGAAATCTCGGATTGTTTGTTAAAACTTTTGCAGATGCTTTCCTTACCCTCAAGTACATCCAAATGCTCCACTTGAATGCCCACACACCTTCTTTCTCTCCCCCCCTAAATTCCGACTTGGCTCGCTTCTTCGGAAGAAAATCTAAATAACTCGCACACGTGTCACTTTGGAGTTGGAAAGTACCCCTCTCCCCCCTCAATCAATACAAATGGAAACAGAATATCTTCCTCTCTCGCAATACCTCTTCCTATGACTTCGTGTGTCAGTGATTACATGCCGATTCTTGGCGCCCACATGACCACTCTGCCACAAATCTCTCCTAAATTAGTCATTCTGTGCGTCAGATGTTTATGTATTAAAGTCCATGGTTTGTGTTCTGGAATGACTTCTGATTTAACACAGTCTTTATTTATCCTCTCCATTGTCACAAACGGTTGTCATTGTAAATATGATTATGATTTCTTATCAACATTTGGAATAATGCTTTTAGGAATTGTGTATTACCCTAGCTAATACTATGGTTAAAACTAAATAAAACCAAAGTGACAATCTGGTTCCGAACACAGAATTTCTAAAGAACAACATTCAAAATAACTGAAATCATCTGAACACGATTTATTGCACATCTTTTACTGTGAGGTAATCTAATCTAATTTTTATAATATAAATTCTAGTTTTTAAATTTAATGAAAAAACAGATATAGATATTAATATATACATATGAATACATTATCCTTCTTCTTACCAAACAATGAAATTTTGTATACTCTTAATTTCATCACTTTTGTAATTTCTGTACATGCATCTTATTTGAAGTGCTTATCATGCATTGAAATTCTAACTATTTATAGATGTGTATAAAATATGTATATGATTACTATTATTTCTACAAGTTTTTTATTAAATTATTTTGAGCAAATACTTTACAGTATTTTATGATCAAGTATAATGTATGATCTTTATCTTTTTGATATATGCACGTACATTCAGATAGATAGATAAGATGCAGTGCTATTTGTAAGATGAATCGGAATGTGAACAAGTAATCCACTTTCACAGTAATGGCCAGTCAAAAATTACTCAATTATATATATATATATATATATATGTATGTATGAATTTGGTGCAGATTGCTTAGTTGTTGTGTGTATCAATATGACAAAACATTACATGTAAATTAGGTTATATCATTTTTTCTACGTGTTAACATTATATAGGTCCAAATCAATTAATCCCGAGCTTATGATATAAATGAGTAGAAGCAATTAAAAGATAATTCATTTACAGCTTATATGATTTCATGGTATTACTCTACGTTTTTTGAATGATTTTATTTTGATTTTTTCTGTTCACACTATACTTATATTTTTAATTCTGGAATCATGTAAAAATAAAAACAATCATTCTATAATTTCGAATTCCTTTATAAAGTTAATAAGGTATTCTATTATTAGTGAGATTAATATTATTCCAATAGAAGCACTTAATATGAGGTTTATTATTGACAGCATTACCATAAAATAATCCCAAATTTCATTGAGGAAGAAAAAGATAATAGGAGTAGTAATTACAATCGGGCTAATTTTTCCTTGTCTTCTAAATTACATTGTGATTTGTAATTGTCAAGAATAAGAACTTGAAGAATGTAATTAAATAAATGAAATGTGTTTCAAAGAAAGATGATGTAAAGGGAATAAAAAAGTATGTATATTGAAGAAGAAAATAGAATGACTATTGCCAAAGATAAGAAAGTTACAAACACTTAAAACTAGAGTAAAAATAAGAACAAAATTGGCAAGAATTAAGAAGGCCTCACTCTTGCTTTTATACATATTATGTAAATAGGAGCTATATGGCAATGTTCTATATAATGTCTAATACATATCAATCTTATAAAATACATATCTAACTTGTAAGTCAAGTTTCTTATACACGTGCAATATGGCTAACTTGTTGGCCAAGTTTTCAACCTATCAATCACGTATAAATACATATAAAGTCAAATTCTTGTCTATAAAGCTTTTAAGAAAAATTTCCATAAGTTATTATAAAATTTATCTACTTTATTTATTTCTATTTCACTTCTATTATCTAAATAATTACTAGTGTTAGTTATATCAATGACATTACCTTCCTTTTAGAGATAAGTTCTATAAGGAATAATAATCATATGTTAAAAAAGCCTAAAAAAAATGAATTATATTTATCACATATTTTAATCTTTTTTTTGTTTATAGATAGATGATAAATGTCACAAACATATATATACTTATGTAGATAATATGAATAGATAGAAGTAGGTAAAAATAGGTTAATTTGATAATATCTTATAGAAAAGCTTTCTAAAAGTTTCATAGATACGGTTTTACCTTTATACATGTCTATAGATAATTGATAGATTAGAAATTTAATTAACAAATTAGCCATGTGTTACACATATTGGTAGCTTGTGGTACAATCTAACAAACAAATGTAGAAAATTTGTTTTGTGAGTTAAGACATATGTCTCATAAATTGGATATATGTTGGAAATCCTATAGAATGTTGCTACATAGCTTTTAGATAGATAGTATATATAGAAGTAAGAGTGAAGCTTTCTTCACTCTTGTCAATTTCTTTCTTACTTTTAGTCTAATTTTAAGAATCTCTAATGTTCTAGCTTTTGATAATAGTCATTCCAATTTCTTTTTAAATATATATATATTTTTCTTATTTTTGATTTTTTATCTTTTTTTGATTCATTTTTCACTTATGTCATAGACATACATATTTATTCTAATATTTACTTATGTAATTACATGTAGACATAAATTACCTCTCTTTGTGAAAATTTTCATTTGATATTAAAGGTTGCAGATTATTCTTCTTTTATTTGATTTTTGAATTTATTAAGTTGTTTAAAATGAGAATAGATTTATAGTTATTGCAGATTTTTACAAGCTTATCAATACAATGGTAGAAATTTCACACATCACTAATGCCAACCACAAAAATACTATTCCTATACCTATGAAAGAAGTCCAAAGTCTATGCCAAGAAGTTGTGCAATTGAGAGAAGCAAGTAAATTGTCCCCACAATTAAATCTAAGAAGTCTTGCTTTTATAAAAAAACAAAAAGTAAGAATTAATATGCCAAAGAAGTTTGATAGAATAAGAGTAAAATTTCAAATTTTCTACAATAAATCAAGTTCTATCTAAGGTTTCATCTTTTCCAATATCTTATTGGATTTATTTAAGTTGGATTCATAGGCACACTTCTATCTAGAAGTATTCTTTCTTGGTTTGCATCTTTGATGGAAAATATTTCATAATTCTTTTATGGTTTAAATTCATTCTTTGAATTTTTTATTGCAACATTTGGAGAAAGTAATCAAAAAAGAATAATAAAAACTAAATTCTTATCTTTACCATAAAGATCACGGTTATCGACCATATATACTATTAACTTCCAAAACCTCACTTATGATGTGGATTGGAATAACAAAACTCTTATCAATCAATTTTGATATGCATTAAAGAATAATATCAAAGATTTATAATTGATAATGTCAAAAGTAGATTCTTTAAAATAACTTATTGCTAAAGTCATTGCATATGACAATTGACTATTTAAAAGGTGTTAAGAACAAAGATTTTGCTAGAAGGGAACAAGTTAAGTAATAACAACAATTCTTAAGTTTTTAGAAATTTATTCATTAAGACCAGAACCAATGCAATGTGATATGGTAAAAATTAAACTTCTCATTGAATAAAAAAGATTGAATACTATCAAGAAGGTTTCTGCTTATATTGTAGAAAAATTAAGCACATTCCTCAACATTGTCTAAAGAAATAACATAATTACATACTGAAGAGCATGGTGGCTAAAGAAAACAATGTGTAAAAAAACGAATTTGTTCAGCTATAATAGAGATTGTATAATTGAAATCATGTCCAATATATAGTAAAGATTCTATTTTTTATTCAAATCCTTGATCTTGTTTTACAATAGATGTTTGTTTAAGATCTAAAAATCATAAAGTCTTTGCTTTATTCGATTGAAGAGCCTCAACTTATTTTATAAACAAAGATTTTGTCAAAAAATAAAAAGTATCTTTAATCAAGAAAGCTAAATCCGTACATATAGAAGTCATAGATGGTTGTTTGTAGTTTAACCTAAAATTTCATTAGTCAAGTAGAAATATATAAACTTAATATATGTAATCTTTGACTAATAAATATAAGAGCTTTTATACATGTGGTAATAAAAAGGTTATCTTTTTCTATATATGCCATGCTCATTTTTGATGGTATAAAGACATCAAGTGATATTTTTAGCTAATATTAAAATTTTGAAGATTTATTTTAAAAAAAGAATATAAATATTTTTCTAAAAGATTGTTCAATTGATCT